GAGCTTTGTTCTCCAGGTTTTGACTGGTTGATTATTCTTTGCCCTTTTGGCTTTAACTTCACTATTTCAGAGAAACCATGCTTGGGCATTCAATTCTGAAACAGAGCCCCTCCCACATTACTATCTCATCATTCCCTTTATTTCCTTCATAGCCCTTAGACTACCTAAAATAATCTTGTTTATTATTTGTTTCCTTACTTATTTTGTTTTGACATGTAAGGTGCAAAGGAACAGGCAGTTAGGGCAGGGCCTGCTGTGTAATATGTGTTCAATAAATGTTTGTTGGAGAAATAAGTGATTAATAGGACAAGAATAAATTACTTCTGTTGTAAGTTGGAGGTTGTTTAAGCATAGGAAGAAGTGCCACACTATTCTGGAGATTTATAAAATTGGTTTTAGATTTTTTTTAAGTTAACATAGTTTTATTTTGATGTGGCAATATGTATATATAGACCTCTTAAGGGGCAGTATTTTCTTCAAAATGAACTATTTGAAAGACCTCTAAGTCAGGAGGAGAGAGGAGGAGAAAGAAAAAGAAAAGATGTTCATTCATTTTCCTAAGGGCCACCAGAGCAGAAAGGACATTCAGCACCTTTGCTGTCCTAATATGCTGTATTCTTAATGATTTATAGTAATTCTTTCCTTGTCACTTGCCTCAAGGACCATGCGCAAAGATGCACGGGCCATTCCTGCATTGTCATGGGTAGAATTTCTCCAGAGTGAGAGTTCATTTCTCTTTGCCTGCTTGCTAGACCTGCATGAGTGGTAAAAGTAGTGACTGCATTTTGGGAAGGTGATAAACATGCCAGAAGGGTTGCTCTTGCCCAAATAGAGTGCAAATCTTAGCAGTGAAAGGAGATACTATTGAGATCTTAGTGATTCAATTAGTCTGGATATGAAACCACTCAGAAAAAGAGACTATTTCCAAATACATTGGCTTACTCAGAAGTCCAAGTAGGGAATAAGATAATTATTTGTGAGCCAAATGTGTTCCACAAACATCCTCATTCCCCCTGTGGCAATGTTAGGGCCACATGCAGACATATTAGTGTTTGGGGGGTTGGAGTGTTCCAGTTGACTTACAATGGATGCTCAAATCATCTTTTCAGAGACCAAATTGCATGTTTGACCTGAAAGTGAGAGTGTCATATGCATTAAATTACTATCAGGGCTTAAACACAAAGGGGGAAAATTGGTGTTATAAAGCACATTAGTAACTTAATGGAAGTTTTGGACATTACTATAAAGCTCCTCTGGCCTAATGCATACTTACAAATGGCTCTACTTGGGCTTGAATTGGTGAAGGGCAAACAAATAATCATCAGGATATGTACAGTGATGCAGAGAAGTCAAACTGGGTGAAATCAAACAGCTCCCAGACTTGCATCCCCAGGATCTGGCATTTACTGTGTGACTTTGGACAAAGTATTCAGCTTCCTTGTGCATCAGTTTCTGCTTCAGTGAAATGGGGACTTTTCTTCCTTCCTCACTGGGTGTGTGAGTGGGTGGGTAGAGGGTACACATAGAACACTCGATGTGAAGGGGTTGATGTTAGAAACTGTAAGTCACAGGTCCAATGCAGGTCAAGGATGGGTATGCTTTGGCTGGCACTGTGTTTTAAGAACATTGAATTTGAAGGCCTTTACTCTCAGCATTCTCTTTCCCACACAGGTTATTCTTAGAGCTGCCCGATCATCTGACATGTTACCTGCCTGCCTCCTATGGACATTCTGATTTAGGAACACCTGTGACTGAAACACTGTATAGGTAGGACCAGTTTCACATGTGGGTGAAGCGCCTTTTAGGGGTATCTGGAAGGGACCCCCTCCTCCCCCTCCTCTTTTCCTCTACCAGCCGTGCCTGCTGATGCTTATAATTCTCTTGTGCAATTCTCTAGGGGAAAAAGCACCTCTATTGAAAGAAAGATAACATTTTGAGGCTTAGCTTTGCTTTATAATTTAGGTAGATAACTTTAGCAGGCTAAAACAATGTTGAGAGTGGTTTTTAATTTTTATTTTTCTGTAGTTATAGATGGACAGAATGTCTTTGTTTATTTTTATGCGGTACTAAGGATTGAACCCGTGCCTCACACGTGCTAGGCAAGTGCTCTGCCACTGAGTTACAGACCCAGCCCCAAGAACAGTTTTTGATAATAGAACTGGAGACATTGGCCACATGTGTTGGATTGTGTGGGTAGGAGAGGGAAACTACCAAGCAGGTAGGCCTTGGCTACATTTTACAGGAGAATAAAAATAGGTGGAGGATTTCCTTATCTGTAAAATGGGGATAATACTTACTTCATCATATTTTTGGGAGAATTAAATAATTGTATAACTGATAAGTATCATAAATTCTGTTCAACTCATTATCAAGTTTAATTTAGCAAGCATTTCTAGAAGTGGAGGTCAGAGAGTCAGCCCCAGAGCCCAATTGACACTGGAGACAGAAAGGTCCAGTAAGCATTCTTTCAGTGGGTCAATGCTACACACTCATGTAGAATATTTGCAACTTGAACTGAGAAAAGTGCTGCTTAGAAATAAAAATAACAGTTTTCAACTGGCATTTCTCAACAATGAGAGGGCTTTCTGAATGTGATTATTTTCTACTTGGGTGAGATAAAAGTGTGATCTCAATGAAGGCACTGGAGTGAGAGTGTCTAGCACACCTGAGAGGATATGAGGGTACAATTGTCCTTAACATTTGACAGTGATAGAGCCCTTATATGCATGCATTTCACTGGCAATTTACACATTCTAGTTCTTCAGAACTGATGAAAACAGAATCGACAACACATTAAAGAGTGACAATTAAGTACTTAACAATGAGGCAAAGTCTGAAGAGATGGCAGGACTCTCAAATATATGTCCATCAACCTACTGAAAAGCCAGTGGTATTCCAAGTTTCTTAGGCTAACCCTGTGCAAACATATGGGGTTTTTCTACACAGGCTAAGTGGGGTGGGGGGCAGGAAAGTTCAACAATTACCCAGATGTTTTGATTCTAGGAGAGCTTGCTTTGATCATTCAAACCATGTTTCTCAGCCCCCAACTTCCAGATTCTCCCCAACATATTTTCTGTCTGCATTATCTATATACAAGTATTTCAACCTCTCATTTCACTGTATGGATATAGGCCTTGGCTACATTTATACATATAAAATACACAAGTGTTTGGGAAGTTCTGGATGAGTGAGGGAAATGGATCCAGCCTCTCCCTCTACCACGCAACTCTAACCAGAGGCAGTGTAAACAGCATGTCCATAATCATCCGGTGAATTAACATCAATACATTAAATCTCAAATTCTGGCTTTATTCTCAGGGGTTTAAATTATTTGGAGGATGGTCTAGATCTGACCACAGACATGCTCAAGTACCCAGGCATATTCCAGGTATCTTTAGACCATAGAGAGAATCCAAATAATTCCAAGCTCAAGTATTTCCTTCTCCACTAATGCACATCTTTGACTGTTAGAATACTTACCTCTTCTTAGCTTGTTTTCTGGGTCAATTGAAAGTATGTACGGGCAAGAGTGTCTCTTTGAAACTCATCTTGACAGCAAATATGGAGAGACTAGGGTGATGAGGATGGGGACAGATGATAAGAGAAGGAAAACAGCTCCTGCTCTCAAGGAACTTATACTCAGTTTCTACTCAGCTGCCTTGTTGCTAAATAGTAGGATGTGAGGGATGCTCAGATGGGATGTGATGGCTGTTGACGCAGTAGACATATTAACATATTTGTAAATGAGCTTAATTTCTCAATTTTTTAGTAACACCCAATAAATACACTCGAAGTGATCATAATCACAAGTAAAGTGGTATTTGGAAAATTGACCCATTTATTTGATTCCTTATACAGAGAAAATTCCAGGTGTACATTTTATCCATGGCTACATACAATGATTCAATAAACTAGATAACGGTTAAATTTCTAAGGTAACTATTAAATTTGAGGTAGGATTTTTAAAAAAAAAATGGTTTGCAGGGGTTCTACATCAACCATGTTCCTTACTGATTGTTGCTCTTGGATTTGGGGGCATGGAAGGAAAGGGAGGGAGACAATGTCAAAGGAATGAGGTAACAGGAGCACTCCTTAGAAGTCAGAACCCACTGGGCTGTAGTACCAGATACAGATTCAGAGGGCTTTCTCACTCCTAAATGACTGATGCTGTGGTAAGGGCTATGTGACTGTTTAAAGTCATCTCTTGTTATCCATGCTATTTTGGAGCTGAGCAACAATGCAAACATGGAAAAGGGATTTTTATTTGAATTTGGAATACATCATGTGATTTCTACCCTTTATTACCTACCCCCTGATATCAGATGTAGAGTCCTAGTTATATTTTACCCAGGCTATTACTAAGTTAGCTTATATTACCTGAATCTATACCTACTATAGCAGAGGTATTTGAGACATGAATGGAGAGACTGGGAAAGGATATTCTTTGATTCAACTTTTGCCACAGTCAGATCACATGTGGATACATAATAGGTAACTGGGCCTAACTCACGAGAAAAGTCAAATGCTGAAATGTCTAAGTATTTCTTCAAAGTGTCTGAATGTGGCTGTTCTACCATCACAAAAGAAAAAAGAAAAAGAAAATAAAAGAAAAAAGAAAGCTGTTTTATTCACACTAGCAGATGTGTTTGGCTCTAGGTACTCAGACTTGGCCTGGCTTTTCTAATCAATTCCAGTGCTTCTGCCCAGACATTAAAATGCCCTGGGGCAGGGCAGTGGAGATCCTGTAGGAAACCAGATGTAGGTGTAGTGGATTACTTATCTTTTCCAAAGCATATTTTGTGGAATTGGTCCTTTTGGACTGCAGTTTCTTCACTGACTACTTTCCCCATGGCCTCTTTTCTCTTGCATCCTGGTTCTCTAGTTTGGACGAGGGTAGATGTCCCATAGCTCCCATCTTGCTGAAGGCCCATAGGAGGTATGCCTTGGGCCCAAATGTTCACTGTGAGGATGATATTACCTGGCAAGGGTGAATGGTTCCCATGTGAGCTACTGATGAGAAATGCTCCAGAGTAGTCACTGAACAACCTTCTTTAGTGTTTGAGGCACTTGTCTGAATTTCTTGGGGTAAAAATCATTTCTAGCAGGTCGCTTGTTTCATCTGGGTGCAAGGACAAGTCATTTTTCTTCTGTATGTTTTCAACACACTTTCCTTGCAGTGTCTTCACATGGAATCGCCTCAGAAGTGTAACCAGGACAACTTTCATCATCACCATGGCAATGTACTTTCCTGCACAGCTGCGGGGCCCAAAGCCAAATGGCTGAAAATACCTGTAAGGAACCTGTGAAAATGATCAGACCATTAGCCAGAGTGTTCAAGGCCAGAGTCATGCAATACAGTCTCTGATTTCACTCTGAAAACACTGGTCAGTCAGAACACTCTGTTTTGGGGTCTCAGCCATACTGCTTCTTCACTGATTTGAAGGACTGAATAAATAAACCCCTTTCTGATCTATTGTGATTCACCTTTTGTGCAGACTCATCCTCAGTCTCCACTTTTGCCATTCATGTAAATGAGCTGGAGTAAAGCAAAGCAAATCAACTTTTTACAGGCAATGCTGGGGTACTCAACTAGCTCTGGAGAGTACCCACAGCTCTCCTGCTGCTTTGCAAGTCTCCAACGCAAAGACTGTTTCTGTGTGATGCCATATAAGCCTGATGAAAAGGGACAAATGCAGACAAAACATGTCAGAACTAAGCATCTGTTTTTAGTTATGAAGAAAATTAATGAGGACCATGTCCGTCTGTCTTGTTCGAATCTGAATTTACATAGTGCCTGGCACATAGATGTTCAATACATTTTTTTGACTAATTGGCTGATTTACAGGATATTATCTAGATTGCCTATATAGAAACAGGATAAATTAAAGTACTGAATTAACTTCATGTTTCTATGATATATGCAAGTGGGAAAAGAGAGCACTGAATTATCTGGATAATTCAGGTTTAAAAATACTGTTGTGGCTGAAGTTGTTGTTCAGTGGTAGAGCACTTGCCTGGCATGCATGAGGTCTTGGGTTTGATCCTCAGTGCCATGTATAAATAAATTAATAAAATAAAAGATCCATTGACAACTAAAAATTTTTTTAAAAATTAAAAAAAATACTGTTGCCTAAAATTTGACAGAATGGAGGCAGAATCTCCAATATAAGTCAAGTATAGAAAAAGCAGAATCTCTTCCACTTATTGAGTCTTACTTAGAATGAGACCTGCTGCTCATAAGGCTATTTGATGAACCAAAGTCAGATCTTTTGGTCTCACTTAATTTCCATCTAAAGCAGAAATGGATTTCTTTTGCTTAAATAGTGCTAGCTGAATCTGGATGATGACAAAGTGATCAGTTTAAATGGAAAAGTAGATTCACTGGGTTCAATATAACTTATCTCACTTTAGCAAAATTAGGGGCCTAGATTTTTCACATGTTGAGCCACCATGTTGCTCCCACTTAGATATTTTACAGAGCTGGAGACCCAGCAACCTTGGCTTAAGCAAGAACTTGGTAGCCGTGTCTAAGCCAGAGAACATGTGTGCTCCGAGTGAGCTGGCAGACGGGAATGGGTAAGAAGAATGAAAAGCGTGTGGTGCAAACACAGACCCAGAGCAGATTCAACAGTTGAAACTGCCGAGAGTGGTACATTCAGTTTTAAGAAGGGCTCTTACATTCTTCTCAAAATTTTCAAGAGTAAATTCGTTAGGCTTGGGGAAAAACTCGAGTCGATGCATTCTTCCAATATTTAGAATAATGTTAGTTCCCTTTTTCACTGGGTAGCCATCAATCACATCATCTTGTAAGGCTTTGCGCATGACCAAGTCCACGACGGGCTGGTACCGCAGGCTCTCGTAAATGAAGTTTTCCATCACTTTTAGTTTTTGCACATCGTCAATCTTTATCTCTCTCTCACCTGTGAGAGAAAAGTGGGCAAGGAAGGTAATGTTAGTTTCAATATGTGTTGAGTACTGACACTCCTATTTTTTTCCATAGAACAGTTTACTTTTGACTGAAAAACAATTATGTCTATAAAAATTCAGATATCAAGACAGTTATCTTAAAACCTGGAAGATTTCATAGAAACATTGAGATTTCCTGAAAAGTCAGAAACACTGGACCCACATTCCCACAGGACAACAGTGGGCTGAAGATGAGGGGCCGATTACCCCTTTAAAGGGGGTCCTGTGGACCATATCTAATTCCCTTCATACACCATTCAAATCTGCCTGGCTTCTGAAATCTGACTTTTAGACACAACTCTAAATTCTAGGAGTCATTCATTTCCTCTTTGGACTTGTGAGCAAACTCACAGCACAACCATCCCCAAAAAGGGTGCATGGGCTGCTGCACAGTCAAAGTGAGACAGTGGATTCAATCCATTGCAACAACATTTTTTCCTCTGGTTACTGTACAGTCACCTGCCCACATGTCTCCACATCTCTTCAAGAACAACCTTTCACAGTAGTGTGGCAAGAACTCCCCTCCAAAATAAAATAGGTATTTCAGATCAGTCTTGGTGGGACTGGGGATTGATGGGCACACTCACTGCCTCAGACTGGTATGACATTGCTCAAAGAGGCTTGAATTAGTCCCAGAGGTGGCAGAGCTTCAGCATTTCCTCAAATGGGCCACCACTTTTGAAGAATCAGAACTGGCCCAGGGTTCTGAGTCTAACCAAAGTAAGAAGCCCTGCCCCACATGTATTGGTCTTTGTACCCAAGGATGTAGTGGAGTATGTTTAACTGGGGTGGAGAGGTAGAAGGGAGGATGATGGGGAAGGTGACCAAAGGCATCCACTAGGAAGCAAATGAGTACAGGAAGGAGGATAGACATTTGTGCAAGTGGCTCTGCTGTTTTTCTGTCTTTGCAGAGGTCTGCTGAAGGATCAGGAGAACATCAATAAGTACAAACACGTTTCACCTCTTGAGGAAACTGTATCAAAGTTATATTAAAGGCTTATGTATTATGGTCTCAAAAGCAATTTCCCTCTGTGCCTTGAACTCCAGCCTTCTCTTCACTCCACTGGGCTTGATGTGTCCTCTCCCTCCCACCAGCCCAAGTGTGTTCCTGCAAAGATTACCAATATGAAGGAGATTCCAAATAAGGACCTCTGTTTTTTCCCAGAAGGCGGTCTGATTCTTGTGACTGTGGCAATGCTTTTGTGGAGAGTTACTACAGGATGGTGCTGAAACAGGCAGGGCCATGGAAAGAGAGGGGAGAAAGTAGAGGGAGACCTGGTGGCTCCCTGCAGAGGAGGAGGAGAGGCATCAGGGATGAGGGTGAGCCTCACTGGGTTGGAGTCCAGAAGGAAACTTTTCACTCCCTTGTCTTTGCTGTTATTCTCTCCTCTTCCTTCTGTCACCAATTGGAAGTTCATTTGTGACTGAGTTGCTTGAAATCCAGAAACAATGCTGTAAATAGCAGCCATTTTTCCTGGGTGGACCCACAAAGGCCTTTGAACTGATAAAGCAGGCATAGCATACACAATCCCAAGTTTTTGAAAGACAAATCCAACAATGAGTTAGGTTTGTATACACATAGAAAAAGATCTTGAAGAATAAACAGCAAATAATTAACACTGGTTAGCTCTGGGAATGACAATGAGGTCAGGAAGGACAGTGGAAAGGATTGGGAACTAATCCTTTTAGTTATCATTTTCTACTTTACACTTCTCTCTGTTTTCTGAATTTTCCCAATGAGCATGTATTATTTTTATAGTAAAAAACAGAGAGAACCATCTTTTCAACCTACCTGGCATAGTCCAACTGTGATAGAATTACTTGTTTTATTTTTCTCCAAGTGGATTATAAAAAGAATTCTGTGTTTGACCTCCTTCTTAGGACATAAGAAATTGGCAATCAAAAGGATTATCTTTTAAATTCTATTATTTATTTGATAAATTCTTACCAACAACAGTCTGTATTTCCTTCATTATTGCCTCTTCAACTTTAGGGTGATTTGCAATGAGGAACAGCATGAAGTACACAGTGACAGACATAGTGTCAGGTGCTGCAATCAGCATTTCCAATACGCACTGGTTCACATTCTCTCTTGTCAGATCTCCACGTTTCTGAACAATTCGAAGAGGGGGAAAATTGAAAAAGTAATCAGTTTCAATAAAATGAGGGGAAGTGACCCTCAAGCTCAACAACCTCAATAAAATGAAATTATAGAAATTACATGTCTCTATAATTGACTATGAACATTTCACGTGACAATCTACAGCTGAACGATGAACAGTTTAGACAATTATCTACATGTAGTCTAGCCTCCATATCCTTGGGCTCCAATCTATGGATTCAACAACCACCTGGACATTGAGACTACTTGAAAAAACAATAGTGTCTGTAGTAAACATATAGAGACCTTTTTTCTTGTCATTATATCCTAAACAATACAGTATACCAACCATTTACATAGTACTTACACTGTATTCAAATAAGCAATCTAGAGATGATTCTAAGTATGTGGGAAGATATGTGTAGGTTTTATGTAAATATTCTGCTTTCTATACAGGACTTGAGCATCCTTGCATTTGAGTATCTGAAAAGGGTTCTGGATGAATTCCCTTAAATGCAGAGGAATGATTATATTGAAGGTCTTTAATATTCCTCTTTCCTGATTTCATATGCTGTATTGTGGTACAGAAGAGTTTTCAATTTTAAAGATCAGTTTTACTAGAATGTCTGCATGGGATATTTGGGTTGGGTTTATAGTACTTCTAGGGAAAATACTTAAAAGCAGAAATATGCAACTATTATAAAAGGGAATCTTTACACACACATGTACATGAACAGTCATAACATGTTGGGTAGGGAATTATGGTTAGTCTAGATCAGTACCTCAGCAAAAATCAATTCAGTGGCAAAATCCATACAGTCTTCTAGTTTCTCTGCTGTGGAAACCTTTTGCCTTTTTTCTTCTACCAAAATATTTATGGCATCTTTCAAATCCTTGCTGGAAAAAAAAAGTCAAAATATAATCTCAATTTAAGCCTCTAGAAAAACATTGTTTTCCTGTGTGTTTAAACAAAATGTCCTGCTTCCCTTGAAGCCAGTGGTGTTCATGAATAAAGAAATTCATATTTTATTTCTTCACTAACATTCCTAAATTACATATGTTTATACTTTGTTAAGGTATCAGAGTTAACTAAGATATCTAGACAGGTAGTAAAATTAAAGCTGTGACTTTTTAGTTAAGGGTTAAACACTGATACCAAAGGCTACACTCAGCCATGTTTTGCAACTTCTGATTTGGTAGGCAGTGTTTAAAGTAAGAGCCCATGTATGTCTTTGGTTGGGGCAAGCACTCTTCAGTTTGTCGTAGGCGCTTCCATTTCCTGCCTTCTTACAGCCTCACAGCCCAGTTTTATTTGCCAGGCCCTGAAGACTATTGAGTATAAAATTCCTGTACTAGACAGTAAACTCAGGTGGGTACTATTCTTGATATTTATTCTCATACCTGTGACTTTTGCCTTACTGTAAGGTGTAAGCACTTAGTGCTTACTGTAAGTGTAAGCACTAGGAATAAGTAGCAGCATGAATATGTGTATGCATATTGTGGTAAAGGGAGAGCTCCTTGGACAACCAGTGAGGTTCTAGCCCAGGTTACTCACTTTCTATGTAACCTACTTTACATTTCTGAGCCTTATGTTTAGATGAACAATAAGGTCACCTTGAGGTCTAAATTCCATTCTTGTCTTAGTCCTTACATGTATGTGTTCATGTGTAAGCATATTGTTCCCTCATCCTAGGGGACAATATTCTGTGTTACGTTAAATGTACATATCTTTATTTCAAATTCTTATTGATATGGTCACAAATCAATAGCCTCTATTTTTAGTACAGTTCATCAAGTAAGAGACGAATCTTCCATCAATGTTCCTCATTTTAAAAAAAATTTCTTTTGAACATCATAAGGAAGATATTTAAACACTTTAAGAGAGTAATTGTGTGGCTGTAAATGAGGATGCATGTATTGTGTATCTCTATGAGTATACCTATACACACACACATACACACCCTTCCAGATATCTACCAAAGATGTATTCACATTCATTCATTCACCTACCCATCCATTTATTCAGCATATATTGGTTGAGCATCTTCTACATAAGGAAGACAGATATCTATTCAATTGGTGAGCTATGATGATTCTTTTCAAGTAGGCTTAGAATGCTGATAGCATTTCTACTGGAGCACTAGCCCCCAAATGGCCTGGAAGGTGTTTGGATGCCCCTACATTCTGAATTCATAAACAGTTCTTTCATAGAACTGCAGCCACTATTGAGCATATACTTCCTTCCTGAGCCAGAATTCAAAATTTTGCATTAGTGGACTGTGAATGCAAATTAGGATCTTTCCTATTCAAGTTACAAGTTGGCCCTAATAACTGCATAAATGTATGCATCTGAATTTATATGCCCTTCAAAACTGGAAGAATTGAGTTAAATGACAGTTTTCAGGAACTAGGAAATCTCTGACTTACAAGCATGTATATCGAGAATGTACCTGTGAATCAGTTATTTGGAATTCTGAATACATTTTTAAAGACTAGGCTACCAGCCTAGACTATAAACACCTATTCCAAGGTATTATGGGGCTGAAAAGCTTTACATTTACAAAAACAAAACATAGAAAACAATACTACTATGATATTTGGAATTAAAAGAAGCAAAAATATAAAATCGAATAAAGGTAGAGGTAGGTGTCCATTTATCTTCCCATAAATGTATTTTTAAAAAGTACTGACATTATTTTAAGTGTTAGGTGGAAGAGATGAAAAGATTTCTCTAGGTCTTTGTTACTATAGGAGATATAAATTAGTGCACTAATCATTGGCAACTGTGATATACAGAGGAAATGCTGCTGAGCTCCTTTCTATAGACTTCTGAGAGAAATAAATATACAGTTTACTGCTTTGTTCTATGGCCAAGGCCAAGGCTAAACTAATAACTTAAAAGAACACAATGAAACTCTTCAGAATACCACCACCACCAAGTTTGATCACAGTGAAGAGATAAATCCTTTATCTAATTCATTAAAGTCACAGTAAGCTCTGTGAAAGAAAAGGAAATGTGTAAAGAACCAACTGTGCAAATCATTTACCTAATACTCACCAACCACACGAGACCATGCAAAGCAACATCAAGTTAGGTTCCTCCCCAGAAACTAATATTATTGAATTTCAAAATCCACAGAAAGGATAAAATTGGGTCTTCAAAAATCTCTGGGACATTTTAGAAATGAAGAACTTAAGATGGTTAGGGATGCTTAAAGAAGATATAAATATAGGAAAAAGGGAAATTAACATATTTAATGCCCACTCTGCTGTGCTTAGATCTCATTGCTCTATATATGTGACCTCATCAACCTGTATTCCCACTCTAGAGGGGTTTATATTTTACTTTAAATAACTCCCCAAGGCCATTTAGTTCTAAATGGTAGGGGAGGATACAAACTGGGACTTTCTGCCTCTGAATCACATGGGTTTCCCACTGGTGGTCAGAGGAGGCAGTGTTTGGTAGCTGGGGAGCTGTACTTTAAAAACCCATAATTAGTCTGTAAGCTTTGGGGCATTTGTCTAGTTTTCTACTGGACTACTTTAAGACTAAAACAATGTCATTTAATGACAGTTTCAGGACCTCCAAAACAAAAAATATATAACAAAAAAATCACACATTTTATTGAAGTTCATTATAGTCATTATGCAATAATTCTTTGGGGACTACTATCAATTCTTTGGTTTGAATTATGTTAAATGCATTCAGAAGCAATACAACTACAAATTGGTTCTGTGTTTCCATTTTTCCAGATATGAAAAGAGAGTTCTCACAGATATTAATGTTAGGATTAGCCAACCTTTCTCAAGTACACTGCTGTGTCCTTGTTCCAGAAATGAGCTCTCGGACCACACACTCAGCACCCTGGCTGAGAAGCTGGTTGGCCAACGGCTTTTTTTTTACTCTCTCATCTAACTAAAAACAGCCAAATTACTATTAGTGTTTCATTGGCAACTTAATCAAAAATCCCCATGGGCTCTAGAAATGTAAAACTTACCAAAGAGGCCAACAACAGCAAAGACACAATGGAAAATAAGAAACAAAAAAATCCTTTCTGATTGCACTTATAAATCTTCCAAACTTGTGTTACTTACACAGGCTTTTCATATTTTTTGTATAGCCAAGAAATCTTAAAGAAGATGTTTGGCTTGAGAAGGAGAGCCTGCCATGCATCAAAATAACCCTGGATTTTATCCACCATGGCACTTTCTGAAAAACAAAAACAAAAATAGAGCCATTGAGCAAAATGTGAGCCTAAGAAGAGTATTTTGAGCAGAGAATATTCCCTACAGATTCTCCTTCCTGTCTGGGGCTCTAAGCTGAGCAAGGTTCCATCACCAGTTAACAATTTAGTCACATGAGTACCACTAGACAAAAACTAAACATTTTTCAACTATCAAATATCAGCCACCATGCTAGGTGCTTTACAAAGGATTGATTTAATTCTTATCATCTTACCAGAGGAGTAGTAGTTTTATCATTTTGCATATGAAAAAAATTGCAATTCATAGAAAATGAGACTTGACCAACATCATACAGCCAGTGTGACAGGAAGATCCTCAGGCTAGAGCCCAGTTCTGTCTGATCTCAGGATGATGCTCTTCTTCATTGTACCGGGTCCCAAAGGCAAGTTGAGAGTTTAACAGGTGCCCAGTGTAAATGGAAATAAACATATCCCCATATGCATTATGCAGGTTTTCTGACATCACATTCTGTACTCATGAGTTAACAGAGAGATTTTCAATTCACTTTACAGAATCCTTCCTAACAATTGAAACTTGGGAGAACCAAGGAGCAGGGCAGTGAGGTATGTAGAACAGGATGGAAAGGGACCAAGCAAGAGGTTGTGACTAAAATAGTTCAGAGTGAATGGAGGCTCCTATCCACCTGGCAGTCAGATGAAATTTCTATAGCTCTAATAAGGATCAGTTATAGCAGAAGAAATGAGGCTATGGGAGCTGGGGAGGAGAAACAGAAAGCTTACAGCTTGTCTACCTGCTCAAATGCCACAAACCAGGCCATGAGTGGTCTATCTCAGGTGGTTTGGGCAAATGCTAAATTTCATGTATGGTTGCTCTGCCTGGACTATTCTTCCTTCTGATCTGAACATGGCTCACGGCTTCACTCCATTCAGGCCACGTTCAGATGTCCTCTCCCTAGATGCCTTTCCTGATCACCTGTTCTGTACCAGCCATGCCCACCCCACTGCTCCCGCTTTGCTCTTTTTACCCTGCTTTGTTTTTACTTCAAGGCACTTATTACTGTCTAATAAATTTTCAATATTTACTTGTTTTATTGTCCATGTCTCCCTTAGAATGTAAGCTCCTTGAGGGTAAAAACTTCACCTGTATTATTTCTGTATCCCCAGAAACAAGAACAGTGCCTAGCATAAAACAGATCATCAATATGTATTTACTGAATGAAAGTGTGAATCAATGAACACTGGTGTAAATTAATTCAGGAAAAATCACATTAACCTGGATGTAACATCAATAATAGAATGGAATTAACATATTCAATTCAATTATTTCATTGCTTTTTGGTGAAAAAGTTTTAGTATTCACTTACATAACATAGTGAGGAAAGTGAGACATCTTGTCAGGGTTATTATAAGTATTAAATGGCAAGCATGCATGGAAAGCAATCTTTCATACTATTTGGTACATAGTAGATACTAAATTAATGGCAGCTATCATCATCATTTCTATCATTATCAGCAACAGCAGCAGCATCACCATCATTTTTATCAAACAGAATCAAGTTTTCATATTTGATAGCTTTTTATATCTATATATATGTATGTACACACATATATACATGTATGTATACACACATATATGTACATGTATATACATACACACACACACATATATCATGCCCAAAAGAATGGTTAGAAATGGTTAAATATACCCGTTTTATTGGTGGTAGGATACGTTAATGACCAAATTATCTGCTAAGTCTTAATCAGAGTAGAATGCTATTTCTTAAAGCAATGAGGATAGATAGCAAAGAAAGGCTGGCCCCTACTTCATGGAAATTTATATCTTATAAGTGAACAAGGCAGAAACATTGGGGGATGGGGTGCCTTAGGAATACTTAGAAATGTTTAAACAAGAGAACTGTACAAAACAGCACATGTTTAGTTGGTTATCCCTCTCATCCTCTTGTTTCATCAAGGGCAGAATGTCAAATCACAAGAGTGAAAAGTTCAGTACCGTCCAAGGGAATCCCCAAGAAAAGCATATTAGAGGTGTCCAGCATGATGCGCCGCATGAGGGTCAACACGTCAATGTAGCCCGACATATTGGTGACCTCCTCCAGTCTGTCCAGGTGCCTTATGATGGATTCAGCACAAACTGCCACCATGCGAACAAGGCCAGGGCCTGTTAAAGCTAAAGAACACACATCAGAGAATCAGCTGTCACTCACTCCAGGGCTCACAAACCACCAGGCTATTTTGGCATTTTGTGTTTGGAGCTCAATTGTCCTCACTTTTGCATTCAATGATAGGTTAGAAATTTTCATACTCTTTTTTATACTTTCCCATATTTTCCTAATTTTCTACAATCATTCCCTTAACTTTATGGTTAAAAGTGGATGAATGGATATTATTTTAAACAAGCTATTTAAACTTAAGCTTTCCTTCATGCTCTGGCAAATCATTTTTGAGATTGCAAATGAAACATTTAATATTTGTGGTCATAGTCATGATCAGTGATTTTTCATATTTGTTTTATACATTTCCCCTTTAAAGACAGTTTGGATTTGGCCTGGCTTATAATTATTTTCTGTTTCAACAGGTGGCAGGATACCACTACAGAACCAGTGAAAATGACCCTTAACTATTTGACCCAAGGTGCTTCCTGTTTAATTGTACATTATAGTTGTAAAAATGCTAGCTTTTCAAATCACCAAAAATGTCCTTGTCTTAATTTCAATTTCTCTTCAAATTGCTTCCAGATTTATTTTACTCAACCAACGACTTGCTAAGTGATTCCTAGTTTGCTTTTCAATGTTTCCCATGAAACTGGAAATTCAGTGGCAACTGCTTATTAGTCAACAGTACACCAGGCCCTTGATACATTGTTTGCCAAATAGAGGCTGAAGGAAGGAAAACAGGTAGAGTGAACTGGCCCTGCCCTCCTCTTTGCCTTGTTTCTGACCACCAGGGAAGTGGCTTTGGCTTATGGGTCCTGATGGTCCATAATGAAAGCTTAAGCTCCTCTGTCCCTCTTTGATATGTTTTTTTAAAGCTTCCTTTAGGAGTAGTCTCTTTTTGTAGGTCCTTTTATTATTCAGACTTGCTGTTAAGAGTCCTCCAGACAAGATAATAAATTCTGAGGAACTTTGTAGGTAACTCCAAAAGGTCACTTTCTCAAAAGAATGGAAACAAACAAAATAAAACAACAATACAACAACAAAAACTTTGAAGTGGCAACAGCCCATGCATCAAGGCAGACTTTGCACCTGAGAAAGGAGCCCTGAGGAGTGATTTAGACATTTAAGATTTCCATACATGAAAAAAAGAAGATTGAGGTAGGAGCATTCTTTCTGATTTCAGGAAGAACCCAGCAGACAGGAAGGGCCAAGGCATTGTTCTCTGGGTGGCTATCACATCTGCAAGTGGAACAAATCATTCCTTAATGATTCACCCTTTGCATGGAAGATTAGCTTCCAAAATCACTGGTGGCTTTCTTTTTAGGGTGATACATGATTTGCCTCTGTGTCTAAGAGCTTGAAGCCACATTTCACACTGATAGGGAGAATGTAATATCATTTCTTATAGGCAGTAGTGATTATATTATTTAATTTCTAAAAATATGTTTAAAAATATTATTTATCTAGGCCAAAAAAATTGAGCAAGTAATCAAATTTCATCAACATGGACAAACTTTTGGTAATTTCAGGAAACATATACCTTCTTTCCACCCTCCTGCCTCTTCCACCACCTTCCAGGATAAACCCTTTCCTAAGGTGCACCTAGCTTTTTTTCTGTAGACACACCCAATAAGTTTAAAATTTCATTAATGTTACTGGTTTTGATACCAGTAACAAAACCAGTGTCCACCTTTCTATTGTATCTGAAAAACCAACAAAGAGCCTAACTCCAAAAAGAGATTCCTCAAAAAAATGCTCAGGACTCTCACTGACTATAAAGAATGAGGCACCACAGTGAACTTTTTTATAAGCTCTTAGCTTCATAGTTTGGGACATTTAATTTGGGTGCAACTGCAGCATTTTTATTAGAAAATCTGATCTTACATAAATAGGGCTAATCTAATTAAAAATTCACAAAGATGTTTTGATTAATTTAATTTGCTGGTACTACAGTTTCTTCTCTCTCTCTCTCTCTCTCTCTCTTTTTTTTTTTTTTGTGTGTGTGTGTGTGTGGGAGGTTTACTGGGGATTGAACCCAGGGGCACTTTACCACTGAACTATATCCTAAGCCTTTTTTATTTCATTTTTAAAATTTGAGGTCTTACTAGTTGCTAAGGCTGGCTTCAAACTTGTGATCCTCTTACCTCAGCCTCTCCAAAAGCTTGGATTATAGGTATGCACCACCACATTGGCCTTAGGTTCTACTCTTTTAACATTTCGTATACCTGTGGACTCCCCTCCATCCATCCTAAATCACTTCAGTAGCTCCTGACTGTTCTCACTGCTGATAATCATGTTTTTTTTTTTCTAATTAATCATTCACTCTGCCAGCAGAGGAGTTTTTCTAAAAACACACATAGATCTATATCATTTTGCTAAAATCTTTAGTGATTCCTCAAAGCTCTTGAGATAACCTCAAGAGTTCAGAAGGGTCTGGTGGCTCCCTCCACATGACCTCATCCCTCCATGTATCCAAGCCAGGCACCAGGAATTATTGACAGGTCCCTGGATATGTCATGTTGATCTATCCTTCTTTGCTTTGGCATATTTTTTTGCTTACCCCTAGAATGTCTTTTGTCATACTTGCTTAATTAGTAGCTTTAACTTCTTTCAAAATTCATGGTAAGCATCCACTCCTCTGAAAACTCTCTCTTTATCCCTTGGTGGCTTGATGGCCCATTGGTCTGTGCTCTGCAGCACTGTGCACACCTTGAGCATTACTGTCATCTAGGACAGTATTTGGTCATGTGCTGGCCTGCCCCTTCCCAATCCCAAAGTTAACTACTTTCCTAAATACTAGTTCACATATTTATTTAGAGTCAAATGACAAGGTAAAATAAAATTTATTCTTCTAGGGGATCTTAAGGCATTATTTAATATGTTCTTCACAATAGCACAAGAGTATAAGTTTTATAATATTTATCAACTTTTGTGAATAAGAGAACTGAAGTGCAGAGAAGCTAAGTGACTTGCCCAAGGTCATAGAGCTAGTTAGTGGCAGCACTGGGATTTGAATGAACAACCTATAACCCAGAGTCTTACACTTGTACATTAATCTATTCTGCAGTATTGTAAGGCCTGGGGATATTGATTTGCCCAGAATCTACTAATATGTTACAATGGAAAAAGGGAGTTGGCAGAGATGACTCAGTGAAGGTCCTTGAGAGGAAGAAATTATTGTGGATTATCCAGGTGACCCAAACTTATCATATGAGAGGCTGACTGAGGGAAGAATACTGACCTAAAGTCCACCTAGCTCCAGATCACATCACTGACAAGATTTCCAGGGCATACTTATCTTTCTTGATGCTTAATATTAATGTCAAAGGATGGGCGTTAATATTCCCAACAGTTTCCTTTCCAGGAAGACATAGTAAAAGAAGAAAGTCACTGAATAAGGAAGCTTGAAATCAGGTCTCCTGCAGGACTTGCTGTGCTTCCTGGGTGAAAATCATACCCCTCTAGGACTTTATTTTCTTAACTATAAAACTCAAGAGACCAGATGAGGCAACATACACAGTCCTTCCCTGTCCTAAAGTTTTCTAATTTTCTTCACAAATTGTTTTCTCATGAAACATCATGATTGTTAATGATTCAATAACCATCAATCATGTTGAATCAAACATATGGCTGACACTGAATTCTTAATTGAAATGATCCTATGAATACCAGTCTCTTTCTTCTTCACATTCATGAATTTGCTTTCTATGTTCACAGGAAGAACCGAATTTGTGGGGGTTATAAATGCAGGCTCTGGTGTTACATCTTGGGGACTACGATTTACTAATGTTGGAACCTTGGAGAAGTTACTTAACCTCTCTATTCCTTAGTTTTCTCTTCTGGAAAATGCAGGTGATAAGAGAATTCATCATATAAGGTTGCTGTGGGATTAAAATATCAAGTGTTTAGAACAATATCTAAGATATAATAAAGGTATAAAGAGCATTAGCCCTTCTTCTCATTAGTATTATTTCAAAGCTGTGAGACAGCAAAATTTAAAATATAATTTAAAAAATTTTTTTAGTTGCTGATAGATCTTTATTTTTTTAATAAGTGGTGCTGAGAATCGAACCCAGTGACTCACACATACCAGGCACGTGCACTACCACTGAGTCACAGCCCCAGCTCCTAAAATATAATTTTAAGAAAGTCACATTCATAGATAAAATAGAAGTATGTAGCTGAGCCCCTGCTTACCTTTCATAAAAAAAGGTCGTACTGCTCTCCAGAGGTCTGGATTATTGTTAAATATGATGCCATTCTCATGCATACCAATGCACTGCAACCCAAGTTTGCTGCCAAATCGGGAGATGTAGTGACTGTGCTTCATTACATGGAACATACTTGAGGACCTGAAAAGAGAGCAAACCGCAGTGTTAATTCACCATGGAGAGAAATCATGGTGATGCATCTTGACTGTGATGGCTCCCTTAGCAAATTCAGGTGCAATGCCTAGTTCCTAGTATTCAGATTGAATGAATACATCTGTTGGCATGAGAGCACCATCTCCAATTGAATCAGTTCTACCTACTGACTCCTTGTCTGAGCATCACAAACAATAAAACAAACACCACATTGTTCTTTATTTCCTCTTCTTCTCTAACCCCAAGTCACCAACCCATTAACCACCACCAAAGTCAGAGCTGCAAGGCTGTTATGAAGAAGGATCCTCTGCACCACAAGAGTCAGGAGAGCTTCCAGCCTCCTGGTTTCCATTTGGCCCCACTTCAGACAGTGCCACTGCCTGTAAGAGTGAGTCACAGAATTGGAAGTTGCTAGAATTATTGAGGTCTTGTTTTGTTCGTTTGGAACCAATATTTCTGACTTTATCACCCAACCCCTAGAGTCTCCCATCAGGCCTAGTCCCTCCAGTATGGTATCATGGTAGGCTCAGAGGAGATCACCCTGGGTACTTCTGGCCCTGGGCTTGTTCAGAGCCTGGATGGGCTGGCCTGGAAGGCTCACTGTGCTGGTGAGAGAAATTATCTATGAGCACTGTGTCTCAATTTGTCTCCATAATGACTTATCAAGGTCTCATGGTAACAGTTTTCTCCTAAAATATGGGATGTTACAAGTATAGGGATAGTGTAGTTTGCATGGTGCCCCATATGCAAATTCAAGATGCATAAAATACATTGTTATTTTCTTTATTTCAGATGTGGCTATTTTTTTTAAATTCTGGTGAATTGAATATTTATACAAGGTTTCATGTATTCAGTGGCACTTTGTCTCTCCCTCCCCACTTCTCTGAAATTTTGTTTCTCAACTGCAAATTCTACTATGGAGATTTTCAGAACACATAACCCTTAAAATTTGGGAGTGGCTACACATACCTGATTCTCATCTGGGCTGAAGAGGCTATCCTGATACTTGCTCTTCCCTCTCAAAGTTGACACTTGGCTCCTAAAGGATGACTTTACCTTAGTGAGCTTGTTCAGGTAATGCTTGCCAAAATACCTTCCCATAGAAGTTACTGTGTCAAAAGAGTTCTGCTCTAACTGAATGGATTAGGCTGTGAACTCCATATTAATCAAACACATTTGTGATATATTCCATGGTCCTACTAGAATTTTAAATTTTTCTCACCACTGAAATAAAAGCAGTGGTAAGAAATGAAAAAAAAAAAACATTATTATGTAATTAACAATTACTTTTCAGAAAATAAAATATTCTCCTGATTTTGCTCCAGAGAATATTCACCAAATGACTTCAAGTTTTGGACAAGTTATCCTCTTAGTAGCAACAAAAATGAAAATGAGAATCTAGATGTTCCAATATATATTCCAGCAAATTAATTTTACTGGCAGTTAAAATTGTATGCTACATAGAAAAACCATACTAAAGGGAGGACTGAAATTCTTAGTAATTAAAATATTTGAAACTCTAACTTTTCTTATCTTCTCCTACCTCATTCTATAATTATAGTAGAAAGTAAGTAAATTTTATATTTTTTGTTCACAAATTTGTACCTAGAAATTCTAAGTACTTTGAGGACAAGCAGAATACTATTTTCCTGATATGGCCCCTAGAGATTCTGGAAAGTACGTTAATAATATCAATTTATTTCTTTGAAGAATTTGCTCATCAATTTTAAAAAGAATGAATAAGAAACTTCAGTCAAAAACCCAACTAAGTGTTAGCTAACACTACTTTTTAAATCTTTGTGTCCTTTAGGGGGCGCCAACATCTCAATTATTTTCAGTCAGAAGCTCAGACTTGGCTAGTGACAAAGCCAATCAGGCAGAAGTGGTACCCAGAGCGCAGTATCTGTGACTGGCCACAAGAGAGCAATTTAAAACAAGGTTATTTATCAAAGTGAGGCTGGGTCTATCTAAGCAAAGTAAATTGGGAGAGTGAAGAAGATAAGGTTAAGGAAGAGAAAGGAACCCCAGCCCAGACTCCTCCTGGCTCTGGCCCTGTGTGGGCTGGCCGGTGACACTGGCTGAGGAAAGCTTCATACCATTGGGAAAGCGAGGATTTCTCAGCACTGAGGAGACACAAACAGAGTCCTCAGGCTTAGAAGGGACAGTGGACAGTGTAAGATATCTGGTTATTTGGGTCATTCTTCTTCTTTAAACATGACTAAAGTCAAAAGACATTTCCAAAGAGGGTAAATCTATTGTCTAATCAAAATGAAAAGTAGCCAGGTAGTAAGCTCTTAGATGGCAGGGAGGAAATACCTCAATTTTTATTTTATTAAATTTACACACCTGTGGCCAGGTTTGACTATGGTGAGTGCTAGAAAGAGGAGAAGGCAATAAAGGAAATAATTGGAAACAAACATTTAAGAATACTTGCCCATGCGTACACTGCTCTGCGTCTGAGACACAATTTCTATCAGTCCTGTCACCTCTTCACTGTCCTTTGCCCATTCTAACACTAACCCAGCTTAAAGTCTAGGGTCGCAGCAAGAGAAATACCATTCTCATAACAGAGATCTTACCATAACCACCCTAACCAAGTGATCAAATCAAGCTAAACCCAGCCCTTAGCTTACTCTGTGTTTGCACAGATCACACAGTATGTGTGCGCCACACTCATGCACACATACTCACACACTCACCCTGCTGACAGGTCTTAGTTAAATTCAGATGGGCCCTTAGTGCAGCAAGAAATCCAATTCCAACTCCCAAGTCTATTCACACTTCTACGTGACTATTCTTCTCCACCCTCACCCTCACTCCGCGCTGTTGGGTCTCAGATAGAGGCTCTATTCCTATTTTTCTTGAGGAAATAGAAGCAACTAGAGGAAATCCCCAGAAGCTACAACCACCAGGATCTGGGTCAACATATTCAGTCTTCCCCCAGTTACTATGGAGGAAATTCTATGTCCCATTCAAGGCCAATCCTTCCTCTTGCTTTGGGGACTCCTTCACATCTCACCTAGCAAACCCTCTCCTTCTCCTGTATCAGCAATTTCACTCTGTGGTTGGTTGTTCCCACCACAATCTGCATGCTGTGATTTTCCTTATTGTGAACATGCAAACTCCTTCAACTGTGCATCCCTCTCCAGCTAGTGGCCCATCTCCTACCTCCTTTGTGTCAAACTCCTTGGAAAAGTTACTACACTTGCTACCTCTAACTCATCACCCTCTATTCTCTCCTCTGGCCAGAGTTTTTCCCCTTACCATTTCACTGAAAGTGTTCTCTTCAAGGTTACCCATGACCTGTCTGGAAGCAACACTCAAGTGTCCATCCTTTTACTTGGCCCATCAGCGGTATCTGACATGGTTAACAATCCCTCCTCCTAAAATGCATTATTCACCTTGCTTGCAGACCCCCATTCTCCCTTGGTTTTCCTTTCTCTGTTTGGTCGTTTCTTCTCAGTCTCCTTTGCTAGATTCTGACTGCCTTAAACTGGATACATACTAGTCTCCCCTATCAACATCCACTCGGATGTCCACTGGGCATGTCAAGTCCAACATGTCTGAAGCTAGACATGATCTGGACATCTCCCCACTCCACACTTGTTCCTGTTAGCTCAGGTAATGATGTTCTCATTCATCCAGGCATTCAAGACAAAAAAAAAAAATTGAGCATCACTTAATTATTCTTTCTTCCACGCCCAACATCTAACCCAACAGCCAAATCCTACTGGCTTTTCCTTCAAAATGTGACCAGAATCTCACATCATCATCTTACCACCTCTCTTGCTGGATTCTGAACCAGTCACCATCATCTCTTGCTGAACAGGTCATTCTGCTCCCATCCCTTGTCCCCTCACTGCCAATTCTAAACAGAGCAGTCAAAATTATTCTGCTGAAACATGAACAAGCCAGATACGTCACTCCTCTGCTCACTCATGCAGGGTAAAATCCAGAATTGTTAAAATATCCTGTAAGGACAGACAAGCTCTTATGCCTAATTTTCACTTTAATCTCATGTCCTTTGTGCTTCCACTCAACTACTCTAATATCTTTGTAGTTTGGTCCTTGAATATTCTTACCGCAGGACCTCACCACTTGTTATTCCTTCTGTTTAGAATAATTTTTCTCTGGATTTCGATGTGGTTCACTTCCATACTTCCTTTAGGTCTTCATTTAAATGCTAGTTTCTCAGTGAGGACTGCCTCAAATTGTCTATTTACAATTATACGTCCATCTTCTTTCCCTACTTTTTTCTATTTAGTACACGTCCACCTAACAATCATGTGACCAAGCATCAGGTTTGTCCAGGACTGTCCCTGTTTTAGCACAGAAAGTCCCACATCTTAGAAAATCCCCTAATCTCAGGCAAATTGAGACTGTTGTTCACACTTCTGATTGATACATAACTTTATAACATTGATTGATTCAGTCAATGCTGGACCACATGTATGATGGTGGTCCTATCAGATTATATCATCTTCTGACATCACAGTCATCTTAGTGTAAGTATTCTGTATGATGTTTACACAATAACAAAATTGCCTGATGATGTATTTCTCAGAATATTCCCCTGTTGTTAAGTGATGCATGATCATACTAAATATTTTACTTGCTTAATATTGGTATATTAACAATATATTGCTTCACAAAGGTAAGGATATTTGGCTGATTTATTCCCAAAGTATAATATTGCTGATTCCCCAGAGTGTAGAACTATATCTGATAGGCAGAGCAAGTTCTTAGTAAATATTTATTTAATGAAAGAATGGAAAGCCAATTATGATTATTAAAACTTAAAATCATAGAGTGCTTAGTATGTAATAGATTCTTAATGGATATTGAAAGAATAACTGGGTGAATCCCTTGTAATTTTACACATACTTAAGAAAGGTATGCAAATAAAATCCTAATAAGTATATTAATTGCTAGAAGATATACATATAAAACTTGAATTAGTATGTTAATTACTAATTCCCCTTTATGGTTGTTACTCAAAGGTTTCGGGTATTTATGACAGAACTAATGTATACATGCAGTGGACATATGATATCAAGTACAGCATCTGTAAACCCTCGCTTAAGTGTAGCTGCCTGGGAGCTACGCAGGGGAACTGTGCATACTTCATCCACAGATGACCAGAGAGAGACCTTATCTCAAAGCCCCAGGTTGTTCAGGCAGCATGACAATAGCACTCATGCCTGACTTCCTTACCTGAAGTTCTGCAGCCCCTAACACTTTGGAGTTAAGCTGGCTGGAAAAGTTGTATTGAATGCTACACGGTTGGAATGACTACAGACTTCAAATTTTAAAAAGAAAAAAGTAATATGGCAAACTATTCACTTAAAAATAAAAAGCTTTCCAAGGTCCGATGGGGTCTTTTCAAGAGGTACGGGTAGTTCTGGAAGGGACTTGAAGAGCAGGCGGGGAAAGGAGATGGGGAAAAACATGTCCTATTCCTGAGGGGAGCTCAGCCTTTAACAACAAAATTGAGCGGCTCTGAGGCAATTAAGGAGAACACAAAGACTCCAACAAGTGAAAAGCCTGAGAGAACAGGACAAGAAAAGACTCGGAGAGCTGGGGGAAGGGCAGGTAGGCTGTGTCCACGCCTCTGTGTGAATCAGTGCCTGAGATGGTCAGAGTGGCTAAGGTCACTTTCCTAATGAAGATAGGCAGGGTGGCCAGATGCCATCCTAATGGCAACAAGCATCCTACTTCAGGGATTGTCTTTGGACACCCAGGAAATGTATCGGGGTGACTTCAGTGTACCATCTGAGTATCTCCTGAGAGGGATTTCTGCCTGATTCTCCACTCTCAAATCCATCATTCTTCACTCCCAATCTAGTCCTATGGCACCACCACTGGCTGGACTCAAGGGTAATGCAACAAGACAATGTCACTTCAACTGTGCTTAGCTGTTTCCCCTAACCCACCACAAAAGCCCTCTTGTACCAGAACCTTCTTCCTCTTCCTTTCTCTTTAAATGGGAGGTTCCCAAGCTCTGCAGGCTGCTGAGGAGTCTTGAGGAGCTTCAAACACCACTAATGTCTGGGTTCCCAATTCAGAGATTCTGATCTCAAAGGCTTGGGCATTGGGCTTTTAAATCTCCCTGAGAGACTCTAATATGCATCTGGGATGAGAAGCCACTGCTTCAGATGCTGACCATGAGTGGACCCCTATTGGATAAATATTCTGAGGGTCACTTCACCTGCTTGTCAAGGGAAGCAGGTGTCAGGGAAGGCAGACATGCAGAACTGAGGAGGGCTGGAAGACAGCATGCTGAGCTGGGGGCTGAAAAAGCAAAATGTTTCAATCCCCAAACCAAAGGACAGCAGTTCCAGGATTTTTTTTTTTTTTTTTTTTTTGAGACAGTAACTAGTTTTAAAAGTGACTGTAAGTACTGATTTTTTAAATGAGAACATATTACGATATCAAATTCAAGCCAGGTATGGTGGTGCACACCTATAATCCCAGCAGCTCCAGAAGTTGAGGCAGGAGGATCAAGAGTTCAAAGCCAGCCTCAGCAACTTAGTGAGATCCTAAGCAACTCAGTGAGACCCTGTCTCTAAACAAAATATAAAAAAAAAGGGCTGGGGATATGGCTCAGTGGTTAAATACCTTTGGGTTCAATCATTGGTACCAAAAAATAAAAAATAAAAAGGATATCAAATTCACTCAAATTTGACTGACCAGAGCTCAATTGACCAGGACAAGTAAAATCAAAGAGTAATTATGATCTATTGAATATAGCAATGGTTCTCAAATTCAAGTGTGCCTCATAATTACCTGGAAAGCTTGTCAAAACACGGGCTATAGGATTCTACCCTCAGGCTTTCCTTTTTAGTAGGTCAAGGTGGGTCCCAAAAATATGCTTTTTTTTTTTGTACTGGAGATTGAACTCAGAAACACTTTTAATGAGCCATATCCCTGGTCCTTTTTTTTTTTTTTTTTTGAGACAAGTTCTTGATAAATTGCTTAGGGCCTCGCTAAGTTGCTGAAGCTAGCTTTACACTTGTAACTCTCTTGCTTCAGCCTCCTGAGCTGCTGGGACTATAGGTGTGTGCCATCACACCTGGCAAGAATTTGCATTTTTAACAAGTTGTCAGGTTGTTTGAGGCTGCTGGTCCAGGAAGAACATTCTGAGAACCACTATAGCAGTGTTTTACAATGAACCCAGGGCAATGACATGTCTACCTGCAGCCATTTATGTTTAGTTGTATAAATGTGGTCTGCCTTAGCTATTCTGGAAAGGGCTTCAACACCAAACTGAATGAAACAAAAAAACCCTGGCAAAAATTGAGGTATTGGACAGATCCAAAATAACATTACCAGGTAGTCTGAAATATTTGGAAGTACAACATATTTTCTCCCACTGCTTCCTTTTTTCAGAATCTGTTTGAAAGAATTGGGCTTTGAGGATACCATGATATTTAATGAAATGAAATACATAACCTTGGCCTGAAAAATTCATGCAGTTTCCAGAAATGCTTTACTTACATTTTGATCAATAGTTTATGTATTGGGATGAACAATTCCAACAAATTACTAAAACGCCTTGGTGAGTTTTCGCTTGTGGGTAAAGCTCTGTCAGGGATTGTAAATTAAAAAAAATTATCAGTGAGACACTGTTGGCAGATAGCTTTGTTAAAGTGCTTGTCAAGTTATTTGAAGTTTAGTGAATTCTGCCTTCTTTGAAATGCTTCACTTTTTTAAGATCAATAGAAAACTAGTGCACAGTTGATGTATATTTGGTTAATTCTAGAGTGAGGTCAACATACTAAGGTAACTCAGCAAACACGATGATGCAGGGAGTTAGGACATTGTTTCTTAATGGGTGATGCTGCTCCTGACTTATTTGGAATTGCCAGGCCAGGATACTGGCACACAGTCTTACAGGGATGGCAGCGCCTGAATGGTGCCATAGCCTGCTGTCTGCTGTCTCTGAGGACTCTGAGACTAGTGTTAGAAATACTCTAGAAAACTACTGGTCAGATCCTGCATCTCAAGTTTTGTTCTAATTTTTTATTTTAAATTTCTTGAGTGTGTGTGTGTGTGTGTGTGTGTGTGTGTGTGTTGTTTAATGCTTACTTGTAGAGATAAGACCAAATTTTTAGAAAAGCAGAAAAGATAATGCCTCTCCCTAAAGTCTGTTTTGTCAACACCACATCGTTTGGATTCTGAGCTTCCACATTCACTGCTCAGAAGTTTTGAATAATTTCCCAACTTTCCAGACTTCTTTATCTATGTACCTCTGGCTTCAATCCAATTATTCTGTTTGCATGCAGTATTACCTAGGAATTACTTACCTTCGTTATAGCAGTAAAAACATAGCCTTACCAAGATATCAAGGAATCAAAATTACTTTTTTTTTAAATAGCAAAAACTTCAGTCTTGATTTTAAAGTATGCAAAATGATGATGATGATGATGATTATCTTGGGTTCTGGTGATTGAACCCAGACCCTTGCACTCTACCACTGAGCCATATTCCACCCCTGTGTCTCTGATTTTATTAACAAACTTACTTGCTGATAATGAGTGTTTCTTCTCCACCTATCCAGACTCTCATGAATTCTCCATACATCTTGTTGTAGTAGTTGCAGGCACTGCCAATCCCCATCCACAGGAATCTACCATGGGAAATGAGGGGCCCAATTCCCATACAGTAGCCAGGACCTAGGATAGTCATCAGAACATTGTATTTTAGCAAACCAGAAATAGTTGTTCTTTTATATCTAAATGTTCCTTTTTGGGGAGGGGTGCTATCTTCAATGTGTTTTGTTGACCTTTAGAAACATTATCACATATGAAAGGAAAGCTGCTGAGCTAATTCTAGCTCAATGACCTCTTAGGGCCCCAGACCTGTGGATAATGAGAGTAGGTGAGCAAAGTAGCTGCTACTTGTTGCATGCCTTCTTTAGGGCTATTTTAGGGGTGACACATAATCCTCTGACTAACCCTTTAAACATTGAAAACCCTTTTACAAAATTTGAGAGATAAATGTTCTTTATATCTATCTGTGATTCACTAAGAAAGCAATTTAAAATGGAAACCAAGACAAGCTTAACCTGGGCTCTTCATCCCTCTGTGAGTAAAAAGTACTTCAGGAGCCCATTATCACACTAGCTCCATTTGGTCTCAGTCATTTCAGTCTCAATGAACTGGAGGATGTGTGCTGATCTCTTCCCAAGTTACACAGTGCCAATGGGTTTTGCATACAAGCTAATTTGTCTCATTGGTAACAAGTGTGGAACCCATGAAAAGTGCCAAGCAGGAGAACTATTTGGCAGTTTGATTTTGTCTGAAAACTTCTGGTTTTGAATGCCCCAGTTGACAGAACGGATATGTCAGAACTGGGCAGTTTGGAAATAATCCTTTTAACTGAGAGAAGCAAGATCTGCAAAGATAATGTCTAATCGAAAAACATTCACATCTTCTTTTTCCTCTCAAAAAAAGATTCAGTTTAAGAAAAGAATCTTAGGCTAAATCTCATGATGCAAAATAAAGCTAAGAATTGAGGGATTAGGCAACAAGTCTTCTCAGTGTCTAGACTAGTTTGAGTCCCGTGATCTCGTTTTAGGCAAGAGCAGTGGCCACTCACATCCTTCCTTATATAGTCAGGGATAAGATTTCAAAGAACCCAAATCCAGGCAATGACTGGGGAACTTGATGTTGCTTACAGCAGAGAACAAACTTGGTCATTTGACTTTACTGGTTTTGGCAAACAAACTAAATAAAAACATTCAGGATGGTCTTAGGAGTTGTAAAGTAGTCATTTTTGTAAATCTTTCTTCTTTAATTCCATTCTGTCAGTTCAATAGTTGTGAAGCCAAAACATGCCTGACTGTATAAGAGAACACCCTCACCCCTCAGGGCTAGAGCTGTACAATAATCTAGATAATCAAAGCTTTCAGTGGAATTATCCAAACAATTTTTAACCTTTTACTTTGCAATGACTGAGTTAATAAGAACAATACTGTCAGCTCTTTTCCCCTTTTAAGAAGATCTTTGTTAATATCTATAAAACCAAAATATTATCAAAGGGTCATTAATCTTGTGATTATTTTAATAACAGTATATATTATATAGTAGATGATTGACTTTATTAAAATAATTCCATATTAAAATAATTCCATTGAGTTCTTTAAAAAGATTTGAACAAATAGATTTGATTGAACATATATTTCCCTAAAATGTCATCAGATATAGAAAACTTTAATCAGTTAAAATAGGTAATAACAAACTATATTACTGGATATTTATAGCTTAGCCATACTGCATGCTCAGTGTTTCCTTAATGAATTTTCAAAATTCATAAATTCAAAATTCATAAATATATGCAGATAACATAGAGAATGAAGTTTGAATGCTATTCTTATTTAAGATATTTTACATTTTGATAAAAAATGGAAAAAATATCATATAACACACATTTAGTTCACAAGAGCCAAAGAGCTACTTGAATTTGAGTAGAATTATTCAGCATTCACTCACTCAATATGCAAGTCCCATGAGAAACAAAGACATACAAATAAAACACTGCTCTTTCCATCTTTTATCTAAAGGTTGGTGCCATGAAGAAAACCTTATTATCTGGGAGCCACCATTCCAACTGAATGTATAACAGTGAGCTGGATATGGTAGCACACCCCAAGAGTCCCAGCTTCTCAGGAGGCTGAGGCAGGAGGATCACTTGAGCCCAGGAGTTTAAGGCCAGCCAGGGCAATATAGTGAGACCCCCATCACTTTAAAAAACCAATTTGCAAAACATAAAATTTCAAAATGAAAACATTTTAAGATATAAGATATGACTGTGGAGAGCTGTATCTACTGAAAAAGGGAAATTGCAATAACCCTGAAGTTGAGGCTGAGAACCTTAGTGTTTTAACCCTGCTGAAGAGGAAAATGCTCTGGGAGGATAGAAACTTGGGTAAAATATTAGGGGAATATTCTGATTGCTTCCACATTACTCTGCTGTCTGCTTTGGGAATGCTTATCTAGGCATGCAGTGATTGCAGGAGCCTCTTTCACACCCTAAGAGGAGTAGTAAATCCTTCACTGCATTTTTGTGCAGAGACAGCCTCCTTGAAGCCAACAGCTGGGATTGCTCACCCGCTGCTCTAATCAAGAGCTGTTGTATTCCACACCTCAGAATATACCCCAACAAACCTGTGTATACATGTGTTCACAGCCATGCCATCCACCAGACTGGAGATGCCCAAAGTGTCCTTAACAGTAGAATTGGTTTTAAACCATGAGATGTTCATAGACTCAATACCACATGGCCATGACACAAACTTCAGCTGCATGCCACAACATGGATGAATCTTACAAACATAATATCCAGCAAAGGAGCAAGACAGAAGAATAAATACATGAATGCTTTTATTGTTCAAACACTTAAGACTAGGCAAAATTAAACCATTTTGTCTGGGTATATAAAATGAGGAGACCAAACTATTAAAAAAAAAAAAAAAAAGTACGGGAGTGACTGTCACAAAATCCAGGAAAGTATTTAACTTCCAGGAATGAGAGAGTGACTGAGAGGGCACACGAGGAACTTCTAGAATGCCATTAACATCCTATTTCTTGTGCAGGACCATGATGGCAAATCTTCCATTACACTGTGCACTTTTCTGTGAAATAGTTTCTTAGTGGGAAAAAGAACATGTTGCCATGTCCTCTTCCAAGTGCCCTGCTCTGGGGATGTGGTGCCCAGAGCAGAGTGTGGCATCTAGAGGGAGAGGACCCACATTCAAGGTTAGGATGGCTGTGTGTCCTTGGAGAAGGGAGAGCTGCCAGGTGCCAGGTTTTGAGAGTCCTGGATGGAGATCCGTGGCCTTAGGGCATCTCTCAGAACTGAAGCCTACAACCCTATCCCCCACAGAAGTCTTTCCTCCCCCAGATTCTCACTGCCCCCTCCTTGGCACTATGCCATCTAACTGTCGGCCATTTCCCAGGCCAGAAACCACACCTCTTGTCTTCACATGCCCTCCACCCTTAAACACCTGACCTGGGAGAGCTTCTCAGAAAACACAAGAAGCCTAGATGTGAGTCCCAGTTCCATCGTCTACTAACAGTACAACATCTGCCCTCTTTGAACCTCAGTTTTTTGATCCACAGAAATAGGCATTAACATCAACCTCACCAGAGTAATTTATAACTTAACGTCTTTTAATCGTTTTGCTTCTGAACTCCCTTCAGTTTTTGACAACCCTGAGCTTCCCCGGAACCTGTAAAACCAAGAACCCAGTGATCCCTGATGCAAGGGAGCTGGCAGGAGGAGTTCAGGAGAACCGAGCAGCAAGAACAACCACCCCAACAAGGACCATTTTCTCATCTTCCCACTCCCAACCAGGAACCACAGGTTCTTAGTCTGTGCCACTAGAAGATTCTAACCAGACCTCAAGTTAGCACAAAGCTAGAAACTCCCTGGTCAGCTAAGTGCTCATCGACATGGGACTGAGGACCTCCCAGGCATCCCCTATGCTCTCACATTCCTTCCACTGGGGAGCTGACAAGCCATTTCCCTTCTCTGGGCTTTCACCCCTCACTTGTAAAACTCCCCGGTTTCTCACTCTTGTCATAACATGTCACCTGGCAAGGCAGATCACTTGTTCTGAACCTTTTATCAAATGAAGGAGCTGGGCCCATCTTTGTGGCTCTCAACCCTGTCTACCCATGAAAAGTTACCAGAGGAAAGTTTTTAAAACATCAGCCTGGGGCCCCACCTCTGGCAGAGCAGAGGCCCACTGTACTATCAATGTGATCTAACTGCCAATGATCCTGGCCCAGAAGTGAAGGACAAAGTGAGATGCCACCTAGCTTTCTGACCCAGGGCTTTAAGCTTCCAGTTTTTACACTTATTCTGCATAAGATGAACTTCAGACTCCAGGGTTCAAGGGAATATCACCGGTGCTTGCAACAGGAGAATCTAGGGCAGTTGGGTGTCTTTTTTTAAATGCATTTTCCCGGGCATGGAACATCTGATTTCAAAAGTCTGGGGGAGGACCTGGGAATCTGGGCCTCATTGATTCTTCTAATAACTAAAAGAGAACCTGTGGCTTACTGGATGGGCAGACAATGCTGACCTCTCTCTCTTTGCAAGCTGCACTGATAATAAGTGGATTAAACTTTAACACCTCAGCCTATGTCAGGGAAGAGAAGGAAAAATCATTCCACCCCCCTCCCCGCCATACACATTCACTTCACTCCTACCATTCATTGACCCTGACTTAGGAGCCCACTAGGTAGAGGAAAAATCCATTGAAGAAGAGGCACATCCAGAGTGGGAGTTCAAGTCAAAGACCAGGAAATCTTTCTTCAGCTCTAAGCCTCCTCCTCTGGAGATGACCCAGAGGCTGGAGAGCAGAGAACAAAATTAACTAAATATCCCAATAAATTTGGCATTCAAGTAACCAGGCTGAATCAGACGGAAAAACAGGCAGTTAACTGGGACATTTTGAAAAGAATCCAGACATGCAATATTTTGTACCAGTCCCATGTGCCCATTTTCAGTTACCCTGTATTGAGGCTCAACACACTTAGAAATATGTAATTACTATGCTCTTGAAACTGTGTTATTGGATAGCTTATGGGATTGGGAACAGGTGCCTGCCAGGAGGCATTTACATTGAAAACTAAAGCAACAGTTCTGGTAATTCTGAATTAATCTGAAAATTAAAGCAGTAGTGGTGGAATGGTAGGATTTTTCCATTGGGATTATCTAGATAATTCTATTATTCTTTACTTTTAATTGACCCATGGGCCTTGTTAAAGATTCCATCAGGTTGTGATGTGCCTATAAAATGGTGGTGGCCGCCATTCTTCTTCCATTGCCCAGGTCCTATTCAACTTTCATGGTGATGCCACAATCACTAAACTGCCAAGAAGAGAAAACAAAGAGAAAGGAGAAATGCAAGAAAGGGAGAGGGTGCAGGTGAGGCAAAGTAGGAGGGAGAAGGAATGGAGAAAGAAGGGATTCCAGAGACACTTCAGCCATAGGGCAAAATTGGAATGGATTTAAATATATATTTTTAAAAATTAATAAAAAACCTGGAATTCTACCTTGCTCCACCCCATCTCAAGCTTGCTTTAAAAAGCACTTATGTCAAGTCTATTTTTCCAAAATAGTGTGTGGACTAGATGAGTTTATCTAAGATATTTTTAAAATGCTTTCATTTAAAATGTGCAAATAATAGTTATAAACCTTTTAACCTCAGTCCTCATTTGCTCTCATGACCATGGTCTTCAGAGATCTTACTAGGGTTTGCTCTTTGTCCTTTTGCAAAATTTTCTTTACGATCATGAATCAAAAGCCTGAAGAAACAATATCCTTAGACAAAGAAATAAGCAAGTGACTTACCTGGTATTGAAGATGTGTTCTCATAATTCCAAATCAAGAGAAGAAGGCCCATGAGCAGCAGAATCGGCATGGTGCCGACAAGCATGACTTCTGGCACCATGCCAGTGACATTATAGTGCATTGGATTCAGCATTTCCAAAACCATCTTGCTCTCCTCAGCCTCAGACACAGCAATTTAGAGCTCTATGGAAATCAAAGGGGCAGAAAAGTTATTAGAGAATCCCCTAACTGGTTCGTCTATGACTCCAGCTGCTTCAGAGAATGCTGTGTTGGGGAGATCAGTACTTTGTTTTATAATGTGATTGGACTTTAGACAAGACAAATTTGTGGTTACAAGTCAAAACAAGCAAGCCCAAGAGAGATCTTTTGGCTTGAAGTGCAGCATTTCTGACCTTGGTAGAGTCTCAGGTTCTCTTATACGCGTGGTCTGATAGAACCTTATCATCTTGCCCTTGAGTGGGTAGAGTGATGCACATTTCCAATTGAGAGCCAAATCTCTTACCAAAATACAAGAAAACGAAGCTCATTCCAGAAGTGGGATCATTCTGTGACTTCATCAGCAGATTTTTGCTTAGGCAATCTTTTTTTCCTTGAAGCCAAATCAATTTAAAAAACAAATAAAACAATCTGGCAATCCCTTTCCTTAATCAAATATTACTTTCCCAATTAGTGAGTTTCTATCGCAAGACAACAAGACCCAGACCCACTTCTTGAACATCATTGAAATGTTCTCAGAGCCTCCCATTGGGTTGTCTATGGAATCCAAAGTAACTCATGCAGAATGTCTTTCTCTTGTGACTTTAATAAGGATCTAAAAATCTCCTGCACCATAGCCTGATTAAGCAGTGTCCCTGGAGTCAACATCAGAAGTAGTGGGGAAAAGAAGAATGGGAGGGGAAGAATAAAGGCAGAGGACAGACTGAGTAGGATGCCACCTGTAAGAGACTCAGGCCACTCTGCAGCCTCATCCCAACAGGGCTAATCCTGTGTAACACAATCCCTTGTCAGTTTGATTGCTGATTCTGCTCGTGTTCAACAATCATCTGCTGTGGAGTCTGTCTTTACAGCCAGGTTTTATAATACCTTTACTCTAGAAGAGAGTTTCAGGGGTGGTAGTTAGTAGTTGAAGAGGCCTTGGTTGAATAAACTCGTATGGTGAAAAGTCACCATTAAATCCATTTTCCAGTAGCAGTTGATATGCTGCAAGGTTTGTCTTTTTTTAGAAAGTATCCAAATCTGGGGCTGGGATTGTGGCTCAGTGATAGAGTGCTTGTCTAGCACATGTGAGGCACTGGGCTCCATCTTCATCAGCAGATAAATAATAAATAAATAAATAAATAAATAAATGGTATTGTGTCCATCTACAACTAAGAACAAAATATTAAAATAAATTAATAGAATATTATTTAAAAGAAAGTGCTAAAATTTGGTGGGACTTGCCATACTCTGAAACAGACTTTGGCCCAGTTTTACCTAGTAATAAAAGTTTAAGTTCATAGAAAGGGCTTCTAATTGGATGTCAGGGACTCTGTGAATTCCCTGAAATGTACAAAATGTCATGTCTGCTCACATGCACTTTTGAAGGGAGAGAGCTACAAATTTCATCAGATGCTTAAGGAAGATGTAATTTTACCTCTCCCCTGATCTATAAAAGATATTAAACATCTAAATACCAATTTCTGGCAACTACAAAATTTTCACAGGATAGTTAAATTTACTTAGTTGCTTCAACATTTTTTTGATTCATTTATTATTTCACCACTTAAATAATCATTAACACTTAAGTGCAAGGAACTGAAAAAGTCCATGCATATGTGGGGTAGTTTTGTTTTTGCTGTTTTTTAACATACATGAGTTGGCCCTGAACATTTAGAATTGTATCTGTTATCATCTGACTTCTTTATTAATGAATAGCTACTTTGAATAGCTTGAGGTTGTTTGTTTGTTCTCTTTGTTTTAGGTTTTTAACTCCCAAAATGAAATTTTTACATCATTCTGAGTAAGCTGTGAATTTCTGACAAGCAGGAACTTTGACATTTCTATGTCTGACAAAATGTGAAACCAAGGTTAAAGGTGTAAATGAGGAAACTGGTTATAACCAAAAGGATGAAGATGTCTGGAGGAAATGATGCCAGCAAAAACCTTCCTATTAAGGGAACTTTCAGAAATATTTCACAACATTGAAAGTGCAAAGTATAAGGTGTTGAAAGCTCATGCAGATCTATAAAGGATTATGATACTTTGCCAAGACAAAAAAAAAAGAGAGGCTCTGTGGAGATACAGAGAAGAAAGCAACACTGTCCAAATATCCTTGATCACTTTTTTTTTAACTAAAAAAGAAATTAAATTACACTTTAATTTAAAATTAAATGTAAATTAAATTAAAAATTTGCTGTTTCTAGTGTTTTAATTTATTGCATGCTTGTTTTTACTACTTTTTTAAACTATATATTTAAAACATATGATAAGAGAGTCTTTAGTGTTTGACAGAAAAAAATGTTTTTGAGAGATTTTTTTTAATATTTATTTTTTAGTTTTCAGTGAACACAACGTCTTTATTTTATTTTTATGTGGTGCTGAGGATCGAACTTAGCACCCCCAGCATGCCAGGCGAGCGCGCTACCGCTTGAGCCACATCCCAGCCCAGACAGAAAATTTTAAAGGTCAAGGAACAATTTTAATTACAATTAATTGTAATTATAATTTTTCTCTTGATTTTTAGGCTTGCATCCAAGTTTCAGCTTGTGTGGGCAGGACAGGGCAAGTTGAATGAGCATGGTGCTAATAAGGAGAAAGAAACATCAGTAAGGAACAGAGAGAAGGTTGGAGACCCAGACCTCAGAAAGCAGGAAACTATACAAGAAGCACCAGGACTGCAGATGGGGGAAGGGACACCGGTCTTCACTGCCCTCTGAGAGTTGTCTTGTCAGGTCTTGCCATTGTTATCTGCAGGGCAGTCTCTGTTGCTTAGGCATCCCATGCTGGCTGGCACTGGGGTTTTGGCTATCTGATTTCTCTAGGCTTGTGATGCTGTGCTACATGTAGCCACAGATGTCTTAATACTTCCACTTAATACCCTGCCATTCTCTTACTCAGAGTCCTCATCTTGGTTGGGGCAAAAGCCTGAGTAGACAGAGCACAGCCTAGGTGTCCTGGTGACCTTGGTGTCAAGACACATCAGAGCCCCACAGTACCAGAATGTACTTTTTTTTTCTATTAAGAAAGAAATTAAATTACATTTTAATACCAGAAGGGATTCCCAGATACCCTGGTACAACCTATGAAGGGAGGGGAGGCAGGCCCTGAACTCGCAAATGTGCAACCCAGCCTGGTCAGATTCTACCACATCCTACCTGTCAACATGGAGTAGGGGTGGGGCATGTTCAGCAGGAAATCTACCCAGCCACCTTGAGTCTGAGGGCTGGAAGCCAAGCCTGCCCTCCTTATTCTCTCTAGCATTCCTGGGCCGTCCCTCTTTTATGCCCCCACTCTGGGGGGAACAGAACCCAGCCATGTTGGTTCCCCCTGATTCTCCCTTTTCTTTGGGTCCCCATAGGGGAACTGACTCCTAGGGCTGCCATTAGAGGCCAGAGACATGTGAACTTGGCCCATTGGGGCTGACAGGGTCTTAAAGATGGAGATTTTTAATGATTGATTTTTAATGGATGATTTTCCATGTGAGGAAAAACTTCCTGTTGGGGGCAGGAAGTGGTATGGCTGGAGAATATTCTGTTTCTAGCAGTGAGGGGACTGCTGAATGATACTGGGCAGGACAGGGCAAGGGTTGGATGAGCATGATGCTAATAAGCAGAAAGAAACATCAATAAGGAACAGAGAGGAAGTTGGGGACCCAGAGATCAGAAAGCAGGAAACTGTACAGAGAGCACTGAGACTGAAATGGGGGAAGGGACACTTTTGTAAAGCCTTATAGGCTGTGATAAAGATGCTTGAATTTGTCCTAAGAGAAATGAGAAACCAGTTAGGGCTTTAAGCAGGGTGTCAACAAAATCATATTTGTGTTTTGAAAACCTAAATCATATGGCTGCAGAAGAATACAATGGGGATGGTGGGTCTTAGAGTGGGCAAAAAGAGACCTGTGGAGAGTCTTTTGTCATTTTTCAGGTTGGAGAGGCAGTTACTTAGGACATGAGTGGTAGTAGAAACAGAGACAAGTGGACCAGACAAGAGACATTTAGAGTTAAAGTGATGTGATTAGGTCATGATTTAAATGTAGTGAGGTGTAGAGAGGATAATGTTTAAAACGGCTCTAAAATTTCTATACTATGCACCTGGAGGGATGGTGATACCGTTCTGTGAGCCAAAGCCAGTGTTGTGGTGTGGGAGGGAAGCTCATTTAGTGTTTATGGAACTCATTTTGAATTTATGAAACTGTCGAATCATCCAAGTTCACGGGACATAGAATCTGTGACTCACGGGAGAGGTCTGAGCTGAAGATATATGGAAAGAAATTAAATCCTGGGCTATGGAAGACACCAGTCAAGGAGGATGCGCAACCTGAGGAGTGTGTCTCTATAAAATTTAATGCAAGAAGGATAAACCCAGGAAGAAAGATGAATTTACAGAGAAGGCAGGAAAGGAGTGGCCCAAGGAGTAGCTGAATACCAGCAGAAGCAGACTGTGGCTAAGTATGAATATCCTTGATGACAGGAGGCTTGGCTGAGATGTTACAGCAAAGACTAGCAGAGAGGGGAAAATTGAAGTCAGTAAGTATCCAAAGGGCATGAAAAAAATCTTTTTTTAAAAAAAAATTACAACAGTTGCTATTTTTTAAGAAGGACAAACAGTGTGGATAGAGTGTCATAGTCCCTTGAAAAGAGTGGACAAGACCTATTGACTGTAAACTTTGGTCTCACTTTCTCCAGGAATGTTTCACAATGTACAGCACGTGTTATGGCTCAGCCTTCATGATGTCTTCATGGAAAAAGCCCAAGCTTATATCTCCATCTTCCAGAGGAGAAATGAGGCAAGTAGTGAAGGTGGGAGGGGGCTGATCAACAATCTATGTGACCTGAAGGTCCATTCTCTTAACCTAAGCTGTACTTTATGCCTTATCTCACTACTGTTTATTTCCTTTCCTGGATCCTGCAATACCAGTCTCTCCGTATTCTCCTTCCACATCCCTAGCCTCTTCCCTTCTTCTCATAGCTTCTTTTCCTTACAAAC